TGCTTTATCTCATTTCTAATGCTTGTTAGGTCCTCTTGTAAAAAAAAAATGTTCTAACAAAAAAAAAAAGCGATGAGGCTCAATCGAGCACATCAGCACTGTACAGTCACACACACACCAGCAGCCGTGCGGTTGAACGCAGATGCTGATGAGAAAAAAAAAGCCCTAAAACTGGTTTATTAATATTGCAAGCTGACTACACTCCTTCTCCCATGAGTTAATATTAATGACAACTTATTGTAGTTTGCTTCCCCTTTGGGAATATGATCTTTTGGAAATACAACTAAAATAAGGGAATTAAAAAATAGAACTGCCATCAAAGCTAACTTTTCTATTCCCTGCATGGATGCACCCAATGTGATTGGAGCTGGCCAACGATTTTATACCAGTAAGAGAAAACTATATTTTAAAGCTGTGATGAGAGGATATAAACTGAAAAGCTATATTTACCACAAAAGAATGTTATGATTTGGGAACGTGCAGTCACAATTAAGGCATCAAATATAAACTTTCTTGAGTAACCTGTTCTCTTATCCTTAAGGCAGTTAAATATATTTTCCATATGTGAATGAATACTAGTTATTTATCAGCTTTTTAAAACTATCTTTTCATGTCCTACTCTAAGTCTCAGCATTTTGATTAATTCCCATACTGATGATCATTTCCAAGTATGTGCTGCCAAACCTCTGTACATACTATAGGAAACACTGATTCAGTTGGTTGACTTTGAATATTTAATGTGCATTTGAGTGCAATATACCGAGTATGCGTGCAATTACCGTCATGGTCTCTCTTCAGCCTCCAATTTAGTGCCTGTCCTGGTATAAACCTCAGCTTGGTGATTTATTCTATAGCAAATTGAATTTTCAGATATGCACTTCCAAACCTCTCAACATATATAATGAAATGCGTATATGATTCATCTAATTTGTATGCATGATATGTTTATGTATTAGCATATGCTCTTGTTTGTCACAAGACAGTAGAATCTACACCACTTAAAGGAAACCTTTTCTGAAAGAAAAATGAAGGCTGCCATTGCTGATCGCCTTCTGAAAATGGCTACCGGGCTACTGTACTGATCTACTGGCTTCAATGTACATTAAAGACCTGGAACAAGTGTGGAAAGAGAAAATAAAAATTAAGTGAGAGTTAGGAATGGCAACCTCTATTTCTCTCTCGACAACATTTCCTATAAGCATATGCTTATAGACCCCTGATGAAGTCACTAGTTTTGACGTAACGTACGTAGGGCAGAGCTTCTGATGTCACTGCACTGAGCTGAGCCGGACGAACAGGTTTTTTTATCGCTTTGCTGACATTTGCCCTGCTGGTCTGATCCAGCAATACCCAATGCCTGTACTGTTTACACCATTGTGAGTACGCATTTTTTATTTAATAAATTGCATTTATTGGATGTTACGCACTATGTCCTTTTTCTCCTTCCACCTGGATTTATACCTGTACCTGCGATCTGAGGAGACCTTATCGCCTTTTCTGTGCATGGGCTTCCCTCCCCCATTGAGAAGGGAAAAAGCGCATTTGACCTAGCACTGTGTATATATCAGTTTAAATAAATATTCCATTTAAACTCACCAACTGTATCACATGGTTCATCTTTATGGACGCAGAAATCCGTCCTAGATGGAGGAAGAACAAGCACACATTAATTACAATCAACACTTTCTGACAAGTAATAATTATGTGACCCATTTGCACAGATTTAATATGCCTCAGTGAGTAAAAACAAGAACCATTTATTGCAACCTAGACTACAAAAAAGTAAACATTTGGATTTATAAGAAGGTGTTGCCAGCTGTATTTAATGGCTGAAATACATTTGGGGCTGCAAAAGTAAAAATGGGACCTCTTCTTATTTCATACAATTGATCACAGCATCTGGCTTTACAGTATGTATGCAGAAGATTTGCTCTTCGTTTGAAAGAGACAATACAAATAACTAGCAAATTTAGTTTATATAAAGCATTTGGGAATATTCAGAAATACAATATATTTGTAACATTGCGTATGTGTGTTCCAGGGTTTATAATACATTATTTATGCAAAGCATAATATGAACAACAGTATATCCTTGGCTGTGTAATATAAGCATATATAAGGTAATCTCACTATTTTGCACCTTTCTATTTTTCATAAAAGGCGAATATCACATATGTATACTAAAGCGCGGTGATTTGAACATGTCAAAACAGAAAAGCAACTATATATGTGCAAAGCAAGTAGATAAAGGTCATCACACTGACAAGGTTTAAAGCTGTATACAACCTACAGCGAAATACTATTTTAATTTACTCTGCATTCCATGTGTCATTCCAACTGAAAGGGAAGCAAGTTACTTACATTCCAAGCACTGTTCACACAATAATATAAGCACTAGGTTTCACAAAGATCACTTATACTACAGTTAACTTCAGCACAAACTACAATGTGAACTACATACCATAAAGCATTACTTATACCACTAAGGTCCTCTGTAACACTCAAGAGAAACAGGAGTTTTACATAATATGTAAAATTGCATGTGACAAGATACTGTAGAGTCAAGATGTATGAGATGGATAGGCAGTGGCATTTGAAATAGCCTGCCTCTGTGTAAGCAGCATAAAGAAAAGAATGATTGCAAAAATGCATGGAGGTAAATTTAGGGGTCTCTTCACTAAGCTGCCATAGGCAGCCGAGTGAATAACGGACCCGTAGCGAAGTGAGCCGAACGCTGTCGGCTATTCACTTCAGGCTTGCTTCGCATGGCTTCGGGTCGGCCGAACATGCTCAGCATGTTCGGCCGACCCGAAGTGCAGAAGAAGTTCGACTCAGCTGATCCAACATCTGGATCGGCTGAGCCGAACCTCCGGCAGGCTACTCACTGCTGTTCGGTTTATTCTTATAGTGAATAGCCCATACAGCAGCCCTTCATTTCTACTGAACCGAAGGGGTCCTGGGGCCGAAGCTAGCCAAAGGATCAACCGAAGCTACGGCTAGATTCTTTGGCAGCTGAGTGAATAGACCCCTTAGTATCCCTGCCACTATATGTTTTAGGCATGTACTGACTCTGTACATACAAATACCAATGAGAAGAAGGCACTATGATTAGAAAACTATTCTGGAAAGCACTGTAAGGCCCCCTTTGCATTTTACCCTGCATCACCACAACACATGGAAACACGTGTACCACAGTGCATTGTGGTGTCAATTTTTTTTCTTTTTTAATAACGTTTTATTGAGATTAAAATAAAGAACATAGTATAATAACAGAGAACAATAAAGAATGGACAGTCAGTTCGTCAAGACAAGCAGAAAAAAAGAAATACCAATACAAGAATTTCAGCAAAATTATTAAATAAAAATTCTCTTGTTAGCTGCACAGTAATAGGGGCAGCTCAACGACTAAGCAACAATCGATCAAGGATTTCAAAAAGAACAAGAAGGATACAAGTGAAATCAATGTAGCACAACAATATAGCCTTCCACTGCACCTTATTAAACAAGGAAAAAGAGAAGGGATGTAATAAAGAATGAGGGGACAGCAAGAAAAGGAGAGAAGGAAACAGAAAGAAAATTAGGGAAAATTAGGGAGTCATTCAACCCTGCATCCAATAACAAGTGGTAAAGGTTTGTCTGTATATGGAAATCTAAAGTGAAAGAGAGAGATAGGGCCTGCTGGATGAGATATATCACAAATTAAAAACCATTCTCTTCCAAGGCATCCCAAGTCTCCCATACCTTATTATATATAGCAACAGAGTTGTTTAGTCTAGCTCTTATGTGTTCCGTGTTCTGCACGTCTTTTATGCGTGAGTAAAGTTCAAGTTTAGATGGAGAAAGAGTGCTTTTTCAATGCAAGGCAATTAAACATATTGATGTAAGATAAATAATCTGCGCTTCTGGAACTAACTAAAATATATTAAAGCCTAAAGCAGCTAAGAAAAAAGGAGAAAACTCCTTAAATTAACCGAAAAAGATTGTATCAAAGCACTAAAGGTGTAAACTGTGAAGATAATAATATTGAATACAATCAAGTATTCAAGTGAAAAATCAAGTGATCAGGTGAAGACAGTAAGTGGAAAGGGGCTGCGTATTTTAACCTCAGCCTAACATATGGTTAAATTGATTAAAGGTATCAATAAATGTCTTAAATAAAATTGTATCAAAAGAACTGTGAGAAACGAAAAAAAGCAAAGAAGGTTCAAAAGAACTGTGAGAAACGAAAAAAAACAAAGAAGGTTCTTTGTTTTTTTCATTTCTCACAGTTCTTTTGATACAATTTTATTTAAGACATTTATTGATACCTTTAATCAATGTAACCATATGTTAGGCTGAGGTTAAAATACGCAGCCCCTTTCCACTTACTATCTTCACCTGATCACTCGATTTTTCACTTGAATACTTGATTGTATTCAATATTATTATCTTCACATTATTATCTTCACAGTTTACACCTTTAGCGCTTTGATACAATCTTTTTCAAATAAACATATTGCCGTCGTCAAGATGTGCAAAGATAATTTCTGATCATACTTAGACAGGTGCGGAAATGGAAGACCCAACATTAAATGTAAGGGGAAAAAAAGGTAATTGTTGTTGTATAAGTTGTTCTAAAGCATATTTAGCCATCCTACAGAAAGGTCAAATCACTGAGCACATCCAGAAGATGTGCAGTGAAGAGCCTGGATGTGAACCACAGCACCAGCATAAAGGTGAAACAGATGGGAAGAAGGAATGTAAATGTTCAGGAGTGTAGTACCACTTATATTGGTTTTCTTTGTACACAAAGCAAATGGAAGACATGGCCGTAGACCTTCATATGAATTCAGATTGTGCAGAACTAGCAGTGACAGCTAGCTCCATAGTTACATAGTTACATAGTATTTGAGGTTGAATAAAGACACCTGTCCATCAAGTCCAACCTATTGTGTGTGTGTGTGTGTGTGTAAAGATCCCCGAGTCATCTCGTTTTTAGGAGTACTTGTACCCCTGTATATTACCGTTTCTCAGGAAATCGTCCAAAAGCTTCTTGAACGATTCCACACTATTAGCTGAAATCACTGCTTGTGGCAACGAGTTCCAGACCCTAACCGCTCGAACTGAGAAGAATCCCCTTCGCCCCTTGTGTTTGAATTTTTTTTCTACCAGTTTCAGGTGGTAGCCTCTAGTCTTTGTTACGGAATTAATCGTAAAGAGTTTGTTGCTAATGTTGCTTTGACTATGGAACATTTTGTACATGAAAATCATGTCCCCCCTTAATCTCCTTAGTTCCAGCGTGAACATATTTAAATTTAGTAACCGTGTCTCATAGCGCTGGTCCTCCATCCCTTTGATGAGTTTGGTTGCCCTTCGCTGGACTTTCTCCAGTTCAAGGACATCCCCTCTGTGTACCGGCGCCCAAAACTGCACCGCATACTTCAGGTGAGGCCGAACCAGTGATGTGTAAAGTGGCAAAATTATAGACTTATCCCTGTTCTTCTTAACAGACTGATTTGGGTGCCATATGTGGACCGAAAATTAAATGCCACGTGTGGATGATTTACTGTACTCTGCAAAGGTAATAGTTCACGTATGGTGGGTTTTGAAATATTTGGTTAGTATTATAATTTACATTTTGTTACTACAACAGGGATAACAAAACAATTAGCTTTAAATCATAAAAAAAATCCAAAAAGACAATTCTTGTAAAAATTATTAGGGTTGCACAGATACCAAGTACAGTACTCGGTACAAGTACAAGTACATGTGCCGATACGTTTGAGCTCCAAGACTAGACTAGAGAAAAATTCAAAACTTAGGAGGCAGCTGTCATGTGTAAGGAGCACACGGAGCTCTTGGGATTTGTACATCTCTGTTTTAATGTACGATTTTGTTTTTATAAATATAAATAAAGGGATGCACAGATACCAGTTTTGCGAGTACGAGTGCTGGTACTTGCCGAGTACTTACAAGTACGAGTACTGATACATTTTTGTTTATTGTCATGTGATAGTTTTTCTAAAACAATACAGACTAATGATTTCAGGACAGTGGTGGAGTGCCAAAGCCAGGTCCCAGCTGCAACCGCTGCAACCCTGGTAGTTCTCATGAAAATGCCAAGTATCTGCACTGGTACTCAAAAAGTATCTGTGCATCCCTAAAAATTATTTTTCTGAAATTTTATTTTGAATAGTAATTGTCATATCTTTATTATCATGAGTCAGGCAAAGTTTCACCTAACTACAGCTCAGATGTTTGGTGGATTTTAACTTTCTATGGGTTTGTTTTGAAATATAAAGACATGGGGGGGGCAACTTCACAAAGCCTTACACACATTGGTTATCTCCTTTTTCAAAACCAATGTGGCTTTTGGATTTTCAGTAAATATATATGGGGAAGCAGCAGCTATGATAAGGTCCCATGATCACCTGGATTCTAGAACATTTGCCCTATCGTAAGCCCCTATAGATTTGTCCAAGCTTGGGGGATGGAATGATACACATCTATCACAGACAATACCTGAAAAAGGTGTAATATGCCTTCCCTTGAAATGTGGCACTTTAGATAAAGTGTGATTACTGGCACATAGTAAATCCAGCATTAGGTATAGTTTATTCCTCAATGTAATGTGTAAAATCCCACAATATTAGGTAAAACACATGAAGATCCAAAATATGTCCAGTAGATATACCTTGTTATAAGAACTGCAGCATCTACAGCTGAATATTCTTCTGTCCAGCTTGTAGACATCTCCATATGGACATCATTCTTTTTTCCAAATTCATCAAGCTGCCATTTACAAAAGCTCTCCAACATCTTTTCTCCATGGTGTCCTATGTACATATCTGCCTATAAAGAAGCTCAGGTTGTATTATGGATAACAGCACAAATACATATTCAGTAGTCAAAGAGCAATAGTGATGTGCACATCATAGTACACTCTAACAGCTAATGGGATCTGACTTTGAAGCATTCAGGACAGTAAAAACAGGAAAATTGCATTTCATACTCACCGTAATTTTCCTTTCCTGTCTAGCTCCATGGCAGCACACGAGTGGGTTAACCCCTCCCTCCTCCCCCTAATCAGGATTGTATCTTATAAATTTGCACGAGTCGCCCAGCTAGCTGTTCTGTAACTAGACGACCGATCGGGTGGGACCTGTGCTGCCATGGAGCTATACAGGAAAGGAAAATTACGGTAAGTATGAAATACAATTTTCCTGTTTTCCTGTCAGCTCCATGGCAGCACACGAATGGGATTTAACTCGCCCAAAACACAGGGAGGGTATGCGTTAAAATTTTAATCATACACTCATAGCAGAAGAAATAACCGAACGGCCAAAACCGACAGTAGTCAAGGCACCCGGATCCACACAATAATGATGTGTACGTGGATAGAGAACTGGCTACGGGAACGTGTCCAAACTATGATTCATAAATGTGTGAGGAGACGCCCAAGAGGCCGCCTTACAAACAGTCTCCAAGGACACTCTATTCACTGCCGCCCATGATGTGGAGAGACTCCTCGTGGAATTTGCCGAGACCGCAGAAGGCACCGGTAGGTGTCTGGCTCCATAAGCCAACGTCAGTGGCTTTGGCTATTGCAGTGTCTAGTTTATTGCCAAACAAGGTTTGGCACTCAAAAGGTATCTTACACCACCCCTGTTTAGAGGTGGGATCAGCCACCCAAGGTCTGAGCCACAAGGCTCTCCTGCCGGGAACTGCGGACAACATCACTCTGGCTAAGGACTGGATAACATCAACCGAAGCTTCGGCAAAGAAGGTGGAGGACAACCTGATGTTCCGCATTAGAGACAAGAGTTCAGATTTATCGAGATCCTCTGATACAGCGGTCTCTGCACTGTCAACCCAAGCCTCCAGGGCCTTGGAGGTTGCCGCCATAGCAACAGTGGGCTTACAGGTACCCCCGGCCATAAGGTAGATCTTTGTAAGATCAAGGTCCGCCCTCCGATCCAGTACATCTTTAAACGTGATGGCATCATCCAGAGGTAGCGTAACATGCCTCGCTAGCCACATGAAGGCTGTGTCCACGACAGGGGACTCTTCCAAGTGTTTAAACTCCTCTTTTTAAAAGGGATATAACTTGGAGAACCTATTGCGAAAGGAAGCCTTCCTCTCCACTTGACCCCACTCTTCCTGGATAATATCCTTGATTTCATCCATGAAGGGGAATGACAACACTTCTTTCCTAACATGCTTGAAATACCGCCTCTTCTTCTCAGGCTGTTCTACAGCCTCCTCCCAAAGAAGCATCTGCCGAATGGCTTTAACGAAGGGCTGAACTAGGGTAAAATCAAACCCTTCGAACTGGTCATCCTCATCCTCAGAAGAGGAAGAATCAGAATGGGGACCAGATGAATAATGGCCCTTACTGGCGTCAACCGTTCCAGGCGGCCCCGGCCTAGCTACTTCTAGCTGGCGTCTGGCTAGGTCCGCTAAGCGGCAGCGCTTGAGCAGCAGAAAACTCCCTCAAGGTGTCCTGAAACACTGTCTTCATCATGGACATGACCTGTGAGGTGTCCACATCCCTATCTTTAGTGGCGTCCATAAAGCACGCCTGGCAAGCAGTCTTCCCTGGCAAGGCCCTATTAGGGCACACCCAACACCCTTCAGGGTGAGGTTGCGGATGGTGAGACGGCCCTGGCTGAGCAGAGGAAATCCGCTGATTTACAGACGGAGACCTATTTCTAAATCTCCACTCAAGGCCCTGCCAAGACCCGGACCTAATTTCTTATTATCTTATAAAGATAATAAGAAAATATACGCTAACCTTAGCCTGCGATCCATGTAAAGAAGCAGGTGCCCGCCTTCTGTGTGAGTGGCGATCTTTTGCTGGGGAAGACTTGTCCAGAGGCATGCTGTAAAAAAGACCACTCATCAAGTACCACCAGGCTAACAAAAACAGAATGTTATTGCCTATTCAGCAACCCACCTAAAGGCAGGGATAGCACAGAGTGAGCTGACTGGTAGCAGAGAATAGCTACCAGACACATCTAGCCACATTGAGAGCCCCCAGCAGAATAAATACCTGCTGACAGGTGCCTCCACCCCCAGGCTCCGCCTCTAGGCTCCACCCATATCGCGGCAATGACCCGTGGAACGCCGCTGCGTCCCCCATGTAACGGCAAGACCCTGACTTCAGGACACTCAGCGGCGGGAGATGGAACCAGAGATCAGAGACTCTCCAACCCCGCCGCTGAAAACGAAACTGCGGCCGAAAACCGCAAGTTTCCAGCCCAATAGCCCTGTGCTGACTCAAAAAAAGAGAGCAAAAATGGGAACAACACCCAATGAAATCCAGACAAGCCTCTCCATGCTGCCAATTCACAGTGCTTTGCACCTGACTAGCCTGCCCCGAGGATCGCCAGCAGGGACTCCCACATACCTATCCATTTAGGATATCACAGAGGGGACTTCGCCAACCAGCCGATGGCGGACCACAAGAACTTTATCCTTGCAAGGCAGGCACTCTGCTAAAATAACCTATAGATTAAAAAAGAACAGCTAGCTGGGCGACTCGTGCAAATTTATGAGATACAATCCTGATTAGGGGGAGGAGGGAGGGGTTAACCCATTCGTGTGCTGCCATGGAGCTGACAGGAAATTTAAATTCTGATTGGTTGCTAAGCATTGTTGAATTTTACATATTGTTCCAAAAAGGACTCTAGCTTATCATAAACATGCTCAGTGTTATTTGTTGTAAATGATGCCTAGCCATTATATTAGAGGAGCAGTGATAAGTGTTAGTTTTAAAATTCAGCTCTTCATGACATTTTGATTTGCCATTCAAGAAGAAAATGCACACAGTTTTTAGATAATTTTTGGGAGAACACATATATTCAGTTAGTGCTTGCAGCCACTATTGATTAATTATGCTAGCCTGGGATATTTAATTGATATCACAGTTTCTGCTCTGTAGCTAACAATTGTAAAATCAATTATGGTAAAACTTGCAAATAGGCTGTGCCACAAACATAATTTCACCGACAAGAGTTAAGTGTACTATTAAAGGTTAAAGGTTAAAATTAAAATTAAATGTGGCATTTGGCAGGTGAAAGTTTGGCACAGGAAAGTGAAAATCAGTTACCTTGACTTGCTAAGGCCAGTCCCATTACTACTATTATTTGCTGGGAATATGCCCAAGCTGAACATTGTGTAAAGAAGGCCAAACAGGATTCAACAACCAAGCTGTGACTAGCACTTGATATGCGTGAAATGCATGCTACTGCCTCGAGGGAGAGGAGTACCCCTGTAAATCAGAACAGTTGGCAACTATACAGTTTAATATTGAAGCTCATTTAGTGCTTGTCCTGCTTGTAGTACAACAACCAGATGCACTGAAGTATACATCATCCAAAGAGTTTTCTGTTAAACAAATACTGATGCATCTTTGTATGTTTTGTTTTTCAATAAGGGAGAAGACGAAAACCCCCACCTCTTTTTTATGGCAGAAGGTTTAGAGCAAGAAAAGTATATCACTTCCAATGGCTTGCGATCTGTTACAATTTCAAAATCAAGTCCATAAAGATATGCATTAAATCTCTTTCACATCCCCAAACATCAGCTAAAGTTTTTTCTTTTTCCAGTCTGGGAGTATCTTCTTTCCACATCAGTGCTCTGCTTGTATATTGAATAGGACTGTAATCCCCAGCATATTTGTGAACTAGGATGGCACCTAAACCCACTTACATCAGCAATAATTTGGGTTGATACAGCTGGATCAAGATAAATCAGAGTCATTGCACGAGTGAGTCGTCTCTTTAGTTCATTTAGTTCATTAAATGCTGTTTAAAGGCATCCCACTTCCACAAACCTCTCTTGCAATTAAATTGTTGCAGGGATTCAATAGCACTTCCTATATCTGTTAGCAGTTAGCAACACGATAAAACTACAGTATTTGTTGGTCTTCTGGCATTAGATATAGATTTTTATTTAATAACCCTCTTGATCAATACTTTTCCTGACAGGACATGGTTCATAATAGTTGTGATATTCATTTGAAATAAGACATTTTCTAGACATGTGCACTGCCAAAAAATTCGTTTAGTTTAGTTTCGTTTTAAATTCGGATTTGTGTTATTTCGTTTTTCAGGATTCGGGTGTGAAAATCAATTCGGATTCGGAATTCGGATTCGGACGAAATTCGGTAGCGTTAGTACGAACGTTCGTTTCGTTTTCTGTTCTTATTCGTTTCGTTCGTTCGTTTGCAGCAAAAGTGACATTTGAGGGGGAAAAAATATTTTTCTCCTTCTCTAATGTCACTTTGCTCCAACGAACGAAACGAATAAGAAACGAATAAGAACAGAAAACTAAACGAACGTTCGTACTAACGCTACCGAATTTCGGAAATGGAAATTCGGATTCGTTTGCATTCGTTATGTCTGTAATTCGGAATTAGGATACATCAGAATGTCCGAATTTCCGAAAATTCGTCCGAATTTCGATTCGGAACGAAATGAATCGCACATGTCTAACATTTTCTTAAAGGACAGGACTGGGTTTTAAAGTGTATGTAAACCCTAACAATCAACTTGTCTGCCTTTTGGCCAGTTAAAAATACCATCAAACGCATTTTGTTACATCTGTTTCATAATAACAAAAACAAAAAAAAACAGCTGATCTTGCCATGAATTAAAAGCTGTCCTTTCTGCACACTTTCAATGTTATCTCAAACTGCCCTCCTATTTGTTATCTTGGATTACAGAATAATTAGCCTTTATGCTGTAGAGAATAAGAGAGTGGAAGTGTGTGTACAGTTTAGCAAATGAAAACTGGTAGGGCTGACACCACTCTGTCCACAACAATGCTGTACGTTATCAGCCCACAAAAAAGTACATATAGCTGAGTGCCTTTCTGTCAGATCAACAGGTTTTTTTTGTACTTCCAAGGTCTTTAGAGGTATAAAACATGACGACATGTGCATGTACTGCAAAGATGCACTGCTTATGCTTTTATTTTATTTTTCTTTGACTAAGCACTCTAGTACTGTACAATATTTCCCACCATGCTCCTGTTTGGTTTTGCCCCATGCATTAATATTATCTGGAATATTGTGGGAGACCTCAAAACTGTGCAGTACTTGTTGACTCACTTGCTGAAAAACTTCAGGGGCACAAGATATACCAAAAATTAGTTATTTATAACAAAAGAGACTTTATGGCTGACAAATCTAGCTAACACTCTGGAAGCTGAAGTAAACTCAATCTAATGGTAGCTCAATTTTAGGTCCAGTATACTAAAATCTTTTTTTCCATCCATTTCATGCAGAGTACCTTCAAAAGAGGGAATTGGATGCTATGCTCTAAATACAGTCTTACAGGCACACCTCCTCATGACAGAAACAGCATTTCAGATCATTTCGACAATACAGCTAATAAAGAAACCCAGGTAGCAGGACCTCTAAAGGTTCAGTCATATAACCCTGTTGTAATTCAGTAAGCTTTTCTTCTACATCGGTCCTCAAACTATAGTGAAGTCTGTGCTGCCTGTGCAACAGGCTTTGCATTTGGGTGACATTGAATGTCTAGCTGAAAATTATTTAATTTACCAAACCCAGAGAATTCCTCTTTCAACTTAAGGGCAGAATCAATTAGCATATTGATCTATGCAATGTCTGCAGTGGGGGTAATGCTAGGTACACCTAGCTGTATCTGTATTGTGGCCACGCAGGATTTCCTTTGCCATGGGAAATGAAGAGAGGGCAAGTGAAAGTTAGACATGTCCTCATCACCCCAACCATAAAGTCTGTGGTTTCAAAGTCCAATTTTAAATTAACAACCAGGGCCAGCTTTCATAATATTAATCTCATTGCATGTTGTTGATTTCGCCATAGACAAACACATAGAAGAGAAGGCAAGTGGGATTTAATTAACTGACAAACAAGATGTTCACTCACCGGCGTCTCATGGAGAAGAACTAGTTTTGTAACCCGAAGATTCATTTGTACACCTAGACTTTTGTGCTGAAAGAGGTTGTACACCTGTAGAAATAGAAAATGTATTTGTTTTATCTCATTCCTTTGGTAAAAATATGTACTATAAAAATTCCGTAACACTGGCATTCATAACTTTGTGCTGCATTATGATAATTTTTTTGTGTAGTATGCTCGTGTCTACCTATATTTGACTGATCATAGTGCCATTTTTGTTCTTGTTGTATTTGACATACAGTAGATACACACTGGAGTTCTTCAGCTACCATTGAACTATATGTATAGACTTTTGATGTGTCCCTGAGTAGGGAGTTCTGCTAGACTAGAGTTAGTGGCCAAGCTTTGCAGAGATGCCTTGATATAGCAGTGTGGCTTGCCATATTTTTGCGAATATATTCAACAAAAACATCTGTTTTTAACCCTAACTATTGAAACAGTTTAGATGTTGTTTAGATGTTGTGCTCATTCACAAAATGCGCTGATTTTTATCTCGATTATCAGTTGGTAAAAAAAAAAAGTTGTAAAACTCTGTAACCACAAGTGATCACACCAAACAAATCCACCTCCCAATCCGAGGATCTCATCCACCTTTATCGGGTGCCAGCCCCGAGGGCAAGCCCCAGCCTGGCAGGCAGGCACTGGATCCAAGTGATCACAAATGTTTTCCATTTATGTTCATTCTGCATTATGGGAGTTATTTGGATTGTCAGGTTCATATTAAAATCAATGAATGGCATAAAAAAAAATATTTAAATGCAAAATGGTAAATTCTTCTTAGATGAACAGATTGTTCACATGGCCAGACATAAAATGCTAATTTAAAATATGTTATTTGCAGTAGGTGATGAGTTTTTGCTTGCATATGATTTGATGATGGAAGTCAGCAGAGATTCAACTCATTTACTAAAATTCCTCACAAAGGGAAAATTCCCTAGCACAGTGAAGGGTCTATTTGCCTTTAGTAAATCAGCCCTTTACTCCCAGGAGTCAGTCTGACTTTGCTGCCTCTCTGTTTAGGTCAAACAGGCCTGGTTACACACTCCCCATGTGTCAGAACATAACAGCCTCCTATCCTTTACATCCAAGGGAGCTTCCATCTTAGCTTCTCTGTGAGTTGCAGTTGCCATGGTGCTGCACATGTGGTCAACCTTGACACCAGCCATTTTAGGCCTTGAAAGTTCAATTGAGAGGTGAAATAAGTACAATGGCAACCTCGACAGTTGGCATGCTTTGAAAATAACTGTTTTGGGAGACAGTTAAATTGGCGGGTCTAGCACCGCTTTAATCTGCTGTTACAGCACATAAAAGTCTTGATTGTCTGCAGTCTCTCTCCTTTGTGTAGTGAACCCATCTGTCCTTAATTGAAATCCTTGCCTGAGCTAGCTTTTCTGGAGACTCAGACAAATTTTCACTGTCAAAACCATTTCTCAGGCTGTTACTTGCCTCTTTTTCACAGTGACAAACACAGCTTCTGCCACACCGCTTTATACTTTACATTTTATTAACACAATATGTAATAACCATTCTTCCTGTCCACTACTCAGCTCTGTCCTCCACTGTCACCATCTCTGCTGCAGTCACTTCCAGGTTCTCGGAAGTCCTCTGGGGCCAATGGGTGCCCACTGATGAAGTAACATTCTCCCCAGCACCCAGCCCATTCATGGCATCTTAGAGATGCGCCATAGACACTGTTCTGTCATTAGGATGAGAGCTTAGCAGAGTCGGCTTTCATATCCCCGCCGGCTCTAACAAGCTCTAATTCTACTGACAGCTGGTGGCCCCGGCCGATAGAAAACAGTTGGGCGGAGCTAGCTGTCACTGCTAGCTCCGCCCAATAATTTTCTATCTTTTAACTGTTTTTCTATTCTTCTCGGTACCACAGAGGTCTATTGACTCACTGCTGTTCGGCATCGAGGAGAATAGGCCGAACAGCTGCGAGTAGCCTGCCGAAGGTTCGGCTCAGCCGAACAGCCGATCCGAGTCGAACTCCTTCTGCACTTCCGGTCGGCCAAACATGCTGAGCATGTTTGGCCGACCCAAAGCCACCCGATGTGCGGCTTATTTCAGCCAATATACGGCTGAAATCAGCCGTACAAGCCTGAAGTGAATAGCCGAACAGTATTCGGCTCACTTCACTTAGGGTCAGTTGTTCACTCGGCTGCCTATGGCAGCTTTGTGAATAGACCCCTAAGTGTTTGAGTTTAGATACACTTAACGTTTATATGACCTGTACCCAAATGTGATGAAGATCTATGCACACCATTTGTAAATAATAATGATTCGCCCACACACATTGCAGCAAGAAAAATCAATATAAAGGACTATACTAAACGTACTGTCCTTTATAACTCACAACATTTCCTGGTTATAGTTAGCTGTTCCCTAACTCATTTTACTGTTTCCCTTTTGTTGCTTTTTTAATTATGGTTAACTAGGACAGTATACAAAACTATAGGTAATAGGTTCAGACACAGTTACCATGTTTAGGATGGTGAGGATAAATTTTCTAGTAGCTTCTGCTCCATGATACGAAACCATGGCAGGGTCAGCAACCACAACTGTCTCTATGTTATATTCCTGGCTTTGTTTCATTGAGTATCTCTTTCCCCTTCCAGTCTCAGAGGCTTTGTAGTTTTTAGTTTTTCTCTTTTCTGTAAAAAGAAAACATGTTTTATAATATAATATAATGCATTTATTGCTTAGTTAAAGTCCAGTACATTGTATGCATTACACAAAAGAGATACTAACATTTACAGTTATGCTATAGGTGGTATCAGATATGTACCTGAATTGAAATATTTTACATTCATTGCTGTGTGCTCTAAAACTCTGTGTAAGATGCAATTATAGGCAAAAAGAGAAAGATTATAGTGGGTAGATTTTACAGGATTACTGGACAGAAAGTCAGCAATCTGTTGGAGAGCTTCCTGCTCACCCACCTTGGTTTTTAATTTCTTCTGTATTGATAATGCCTAAAACATTTTTTTTTTAAATATTCAATTTTTATTGAAGTATACATTTTTAAGACAAAACAAATACAATTCCGGTACCAATGACCAGCATTAAAACAGACAGATATCTTTACTGCTCATTATGTAAATAACATTGCTTCATTCATGTATCTGCACCATAGTAAGACACAAGTGAAACTGTCACACATCGGCTCAATAGATCGGGAAGTGAGCGAACACATACCGTCGCTCGCTCACTTCTTGATCATCTCCCTGCAGACAGCGTGACTGTCACTCACGGCTCCCTGCAAGGATTCCGCCCCTCCCCACTCCGGTCCTCCAGTGCTGACTGGCGGAACGGATGGGGGAGGGGGCGGGTACAGCTGGCTCTGCCTCTAGATAGGCAGAGCCAGCTGTCATTCACGCAGCTGGGTGGATCTCGACAGTAATGTTGGGATCCGTCTCGGCTGCAGCGCTCTCAGTATATCACAAGCTGTAGCTTGCGATATACTGAGCTTTGGGTCAAGGGAGGACACTAGTATATGTCCTCCTGTGACCCTTAAGAGAACTATAGGGAAAAACACTTACCCCATAGTTCTCCTTTAAGAGCACAGTACATTTATAATATACATCTCCAGTAGCAATTCCATAGTCTCTGACTATATCCTGAAGCATGTCCCCAGCCTTTGACAGCTATCTGTAGTATTACATTCACTGGATATTATGTGAAGCCCTTTACTGAAGTCAGGGAATACATTTAAGGCCCCATATATCAAGTAAGTTGACCCCCACTGCTATAGACTGTCACTTGAGTGGCAACGTTGAGTCTTCTGTGGCTGCTGACATCGCCTCCAAGATAGCAGAATGCAGCAGCACGTTCAGGGCTTTTGAATGTCTACACTGGGGAGGCTTTTACATGTAATTAACCCTAAAATACATTAAATACACATATAATCTTAGAGGAATATTTTTTGCTGAAATTAATGATCTGATGACAGATCCAAATATTTTGCTCCATTGTAATCTGCTTCTCAGGCAAACTCTATAAATATTAAATGTGCAATTGTAGCTTCATACACAACTACTTTTATATGCTGTGTGAATGTATTTTTAATGAGTTTAGGAGGCCTACAAAATGAATCTATTCAAACTGTTGCCTAAAGGTAAAAGTTCCCAAGCACTAATGATTTATGTGTTAGTCAATATTCTTTGCTCTGGAGAGAATATTTTTAAATAATCCTTCCACATTTTAAAACCTGTTTAAGAAGATGGATAGAGCTAATTTAAAACTTCTGATTCATACTGTTGTTGAACAAATAATGTCCAAGTGAAAAGTAATATGTGCAAAATACCCATACATTGCTTACTTTACCTTCTAAGGTTTATGCATTTAGAATTTCCTCCTGCATAAAATTTAACTGAGGGGTGCACATCATAACTACTCACTGTTTTTTACATTGTAAAAGTCTAGGTACTAATGGGCTGAATTAAAAATCATTTGTAACACTACATGAAAAAATCTAGCATGTGTTTAAAAAATATCTCAATGGGGGACGTGGTTTGATGGCCGCCTGAACCAGACGTGCTTTCTAGTAGCTCCGCTGGAACCACTTAAACCTGCAGGCTAGCAGCCACACCGACTAGCCGACATGGGCAAATATGGACCCCGCAGGTCCTCCAAGTCACAGCAGCCGCCGAAGCTGAAAAAAACCCCGCAGAAAACGATCAAATCGTTCTTTGATCCGAGCGACCCACAGGAGACCTTGTCAGTTAAAATGGCGCCGCCGGATCACGGGACCCTGCGTGGAGGGCCGAAAGCTGCAGCACACTCTCAGCCTCTGCAGGAGGGATCGGACCTGTCGCGGTCTCTCTCCACTGCCTCATCCGGATCCCAGATGTCACCCAGGGACGGATCCCCCTCGGGGGGCAAATCGGAGGAGGGAGTGAGTACATGGGCTGGGGAAGGGAAAGCCACGATATGGCCGTCGCCTGCCCAGATAGAGACGGTTGGGCCACCTGCACCAGATTATGAGGGAAGGGGAATGGAGGCCTTATCCATGAGCCCGGAAGACCCGATACCACTTCCGGACACCCCCCCGCTTTCGACCCCGAAAGCAGGGGCCCAGCCGCGGGACATTACGCCTAGGCCGCAGAGGGGCCCAAAAGCCAGGGGCTCGAGTAGACAGACTCCCCCAAGCCATCCGACCTCGTCTCTGGATATACATCTCCAGCAAGGCTCTCCACCTGCGCAGCCACAGCGCCATCTAGCGTCCACAGTGATGCAAACATCATTGCAGACAGCAATGCTGCAATCAACCCCGCACCAAGCTGATTCAGAACACTTGACATATAGCTGTGACAGGGATCAAGCAGGGGCCCAATCTTTTACAGAACCAGACGAAGTGGAACATCCTTCATGGAGGGAATACATTAAACACATCCCCACTAAGGAAGATTTTAAGCTCCTCATACAAGAAGTCAGAATGACTTGTAAAACTGAAATACAGTCTCTTCGCGAAGACTTCCGCCACTTAGCCCAACAGGTGACGGAAGTAGAGGAAGACCTGCTGACGACTAAAAGAGAGGTCCACAAGCTGCAATCTCGATCGGTAGACCACTCCTTTGAGATTCGAGAGCTGCAACGCAGAGTGGAAGACCTTGATAACAGGGGTCGCCGGAATAACCTGAGGATTAAGGGGTTACCGGAAGTAGATGGGCAGGAAGATCTCCCCACCAAGCTGCAGACACTGTTTAATACGGTCCTTGGGAACCCTACAACACAAAAGGTGGAGTTGGATCGGGCTCATAGAGCACTATGCCATAGGGGCTCATCATCGACCCCGAGGGACGTCATCTGCAGACTTCATTACTATTCACTTAAAGAGGAAATATTGCGGAAGGCCCGCAACCTGCAGGACATAAATTTTGAGGGAGCCCCGCTCCAGATATACCAAGACCTCTCATGGTACACACTGCAACAGCGACGCCTATTACAGCCACTGCTGACACTACTACGAGACAACAATATCCCCTATCGCTGGGGGTACCCTTTTAGTCTTACTGCCAGGAGAGATGGGAGAAGCGCTATTCTGCGTGTTCCAGAGGACTTACCTACTTTCTGCGCAGACCTAAGATTGGCCTGCCCCGCCCTGATAGGATGGGACCCTCTACCGAAACTGGGTCCGGAACCTACCACATGGCAAAAGGTCACTCCCGGAAAGCGGAATACCGGCTTGGGAGTGAATACTACCACCCCTTTTCGCAGACCGCCACATCCTCGGGAGGCTTCCACTCCGAGACGCCCCCGCTGAAGCCTGTGATTCCTCCTATTGTGGAGACCTGGGTCGGTGGCATCTCGTCTTTACTGGAGTGACACTGTGCAACGCGGATGTATCCAAAACCCTCTTATGGAACAGTTCTGCTTTTTGATCATTTATTACCATGGTTTTCAATAAAATCGCCACTTTAGAACACACCTTCCTTATTATTGGGGGTGATTTTAACCTACCGTGCTCAAATGTTATGGACCACATGGGATCTCTGGGAAAAGGGGCTCCGAAGGCCACGGAATATAATGCGCGTCATTTTCGTCGCTTGATAAGACGACACTCTTTGTTTGATTCATGGCGAGTACTTCATCCCTCAGAGAAACTCTTCACATTCTACTCCCCGGTTCATCACACACACACTAGAATTGACTATTTCTTGGTAAATACCCCAGTCCTGCAGAACATAAAATCGGCAGAGGTCGGAGTGATCTCATGGTCGGACCATGCACCAATAGCTCTGACCCTGACTTTGGAACCCACCCAGATCAAAAAATGTCACTGGAGGTTGAATGATAGTCTGCTCAAGGATGAAATTCCTAGGCAAGACATAAAGAGGGCCATTAGCTCCTACTTTGAATTGAATGAAGGCACGGTCTCTCAAGTTTCCACTCTGTGGGAGGCTCATAAAGCCACGATCCGGGGTCATTGCATAGCGCTGGCGTCCAACATCAAAAAAGACAGGTTGGCCACTACAAATAGCTTGAAGAGGGAGATAATCGCCCTGGAACAAAAGCTAGTATTAACACCATCCAAGTTGCTCCTTCGAAGGTTAATCCAAACTAGAACATGACTGCGACACCTGCTGACGCACAAGGTTGAAGTATCCATGACTCACTTAAAGCAACGGTATTACGAGAGGGGTGACAAGGCACATACTATACTAGCTTGTAAGCTACGTGAGGAAGCTAGCGGTAGGGGACTGACAGCAGTTAGAGACGCTAGGGGCACACTGCAACATCACCCGGACGTTATAGCTGATGTGTTTAGGGATTACTATACCGAACTCTACAATCTTACAGACACTGCCTTTACCCCGCATGACGCGCGCTTGGCAGATAGCATTCAGGACTATCTGGAAAGGTGTAGTCTGCCGAGAGTTTCGACAGAGGCATTGGAAGCCTTAAACACAGATATAACGCCGGACGAACTTAGGAATGTCATCCGTACACTGCCCACAGGCAAGTCACCAGGGCCTGACGGATACCCATACTCATTCTATAAAACATATATTGACACCCTTCTCCCTCATATGACGACCATGTTTAATGGGTTTCTTCACGGAGAGGCAATCCCGACGTCGTTTTTAACCTCACACATAACGGTGTTCCCCAAACCGGATAAGGATGGTAAAATGTGTGCTAATTATAGACC